CGCACGCTTCGATGCATCCCACCGCGCCCTCCTACTCGCACCGGCTCACCAGCAGCCGGGTGCGGCCGGGTATAGGTCACGCGCTTGAGCGCCATCCATTTTCGGGGCTAATTGATTCGGCAGGTGAGTTGTTACACACTCCTTAGCGGATTTCGACTTCCATGACCACCGTCCTGCTGTCTTAATCAATCAACACCCTTTGTGGGATCTAGGTTAGCGCGTAGTTAGGCACCGTAACCCGGCTTTCGGTTCATCCCGCCTCGCCAGTTCTGCTTACCAAAAATGGCCCACTTGGCACTCATGTTGGTGGGGTCAGCCAGCACCCCTGAAAGCCAGCCACAATTAAGATGGCGGCCCTCCTCGCCCGTTTAAAGTTTGAGAGTCGGTCGAGGGAGCTTCTCCCCCGAGCCCGCCAATCATTCGCTTTACCAGACGTAACCACGTATCGAGCACCAGCTATCCTGAGGGAAACTTCGGAGGGAACCAGCTACCAGATGGTTCGATTAGTCTTTCGCCCCTATACCCAAGTCTGACGAACGATTTGCACGTCAGTAGCGCTGCGGGCCTCCACCAGAGTTTCCTCTGGCTTCGCCCTGCTCAGGCATAGTTCACCATCTTTCGGGTCCCAACGCGACTACTCAACGCACCCCGGGCGCCGAGGCCCCCGGGGCGGTCCGTGGTGCGGGCAGCACGAGGCCGCCTTCTCACGGGTCGCTTTCACTGTCGCCATTGTGGTTTCCAACCCATTGGCTCGCAGCCGCGTTGGCCTCCTTGGTCCGTGTTTCAAGACGGGTCGCATCAGCCCGTTTCGCCAGCGCCGACCCGTGAGGGTCATCCTCGGTCTCCGCCGCGGTGGGAGCGAGCTCCTTTTCCCGCGGCATCGACCGGCGCTGCGTACCTCCGGGCCCCGCGCGAACGGGGCCCGCAGGTTTGCTTGGGCTCATGCGCTTATCCTCCTGACGATTTCAAGCACTTTTTACTCTCTTTCCAAAGTTCTTTTCATCTTTCCCTCGCGGTACTTGTTCGCTATCGGAAACCTGGCCGTATTTAGCCTTGGATGGAGCTTACCACCCATGTTGGGGCTGCACTCCCAAGCAACCCGACTCTTCGGATGCGTCTCGTGGAGTGACGGGTCGTCGCCCGACGGGGGTGTCACCCTCTCTGCCGCCACTTTCCAGTGGACTTAAGGCGGCGCCCGTCACAGAGAACGCTTCCTTTTCAGACTACAATTCGGAGGGCCGGGGGCCCTCGGATTTCAAGCCTGGGCTTTTCCTTGGTCGCTCGCCGCTACCAAAGGAATCACGGTTGTTTTCTTTTCCTCCGCTTAGTAATATGCTTAAATTCAGCGGGTGGTCTCGCCTGACTTGAAGCCATCGTTTGGGGTTTGCCCGGTTCCTCCCCGTCCGACCATTTTTGTACGAGCCCCGTCCGCCTCTCGCCCGTTCTTGTGCGCTACTTTGGAGGGGGAGACCGGGGGTTGCCACGCCCCCGGCTCCCGAACCTTTTCGCGACCGTCTCGGGAGAGAAAAGAGGGACCGAGTGACCGGCCCCCCCACCTGCTGGGAGGTCCGGACGGAGTCCGTTGGCCGGCTGGGTTCGCCGAGCCCAGCGGGGTCGCCGCCCGCCTCATCTCGCTCGT